GGGGTTAAGCATTCCAGCCTTTGAGCCTTTCCGGCCTTGGTCTGACGTCATATGCTGTTTTGAGGGATTTAAACCCTTAAAACATCCTAAACCCTAAGCCCAAAATCGCGGACATCCTGGGACCATCTGGGACCTTTCGTGAGGTGCAGAGGCTGCGAGCGCGGCGCGCCGCCAGGGCAACGCAGCTTTGCGGTCTGGCGCAGAGACGGCGGAGGCGCGCAATGCATGCAACAAGAAATGAAACGCATGGGGGTTATTAGGGCTAGGGTTTAGGGTTCAGGCTTTAGGGTTTAGGGTTTACGAGAATAAGGGACCCTAGTATAAACCCCCCCAAATAGTAGGAGTCTCTTACACAACATACCCGAATAAGGTATAACTCCTATTTTCGGAAACCCCCGCGTGGGCGGAATTCTCGACGGCTCCCATGCTCCTTGAAACTTGGGTGAGCCCTTGCTTCAGTTGTTCTTGTGTCAGGGTTTAGGGTTTAGGGTTCAGGGTCTAGGGTCTAGGGTCTAGGGTCTAGGGTCTAGGGTTTAGGGTTTAGGGTTTAGGGTTTAGGCTGAAATTCGGCGACCTTGGGTTCTCAAACGTCAGGAGCTTATCGTAGAGGAGGGCTCTTCGCTCCTGCCTGATACATCAGATGACTTTGCGACGCATTGAAGCGAAGGCGCATCTGAAGTAAGGCCCCGGCTTGAGACCCTTCCCACCCTCCCTCACTTATACCGAAGAAGGGTTTAGGGTTTTAGAGTTTAGAGTTTAGGGTTTAGGGTTTAGGGCTTAGGGCTTCGGGTTTAGGCGTCGGTGCCATTCCTTCTGCCAAGAAGGTCGCACTTGCGTGCCGTGCCCAGTCAGCCTAGTTTTTGTCCACCCGGCTGTCAAACAAAAAGCCCCAATGTCACTCAATAGGGAACAGGGTAACCCTAAGCCCAAGCCCTAAACCCTCTAAAAGCCCCTAAACCCTAAACCCTGCTGTGCGGACCTGTGCAGACAGGCGCTCAGAAAAGCTGGCGTCCAAGCGGCCCATACAAGTGCCGAGATGATCCAGCAAGGAACGGAGGCTCTGATCGAATGCGATGTAGGCTCATGCAAGAAATTTGGATTCTGCCCTATGGAGGCCTCATCCCTGTTATGCGTAGTTGGGGGGCGGGTCTAGGTAAGGGGTTTGGGTTTAGTGTTAAGGGGTACGCATTGCTGCCCACGCGCCCCAGAGCATGCCGCGAGAAACCCTAACCCCTAGATAACCCTAAAACCTGAATCCTGAACCCTAAACCGCGGCTGCTTGCGGAAGGTGGCGCGTGCAAATTGGCAGCACGGCGCTGAGGCTTGTCAACGTGGGCTGCATGAGGCCAGCGTGACACCCCAAACCCTGCCGAGGGTTGCTACAACAAGGATTTGTAAAGTCATCGGGTGTTCATTCCAGCTGATCCACAATGCGTGAGGCCTCTGCGGCTTGGAAACGCGCCGCGCCTTACATGGACAAGGTGCACTTGGCATCAAGCCTTATGGCAGTGTACTTTTGAAGACGGCGGACAGCATGTGAGGGTAGCGGGTAGCACGTACCAAAATGACATGCAGGATGAGCATGAACAGACTCAAGCTGAGGGCATCCTGCTCGTGAACGTTGTCTGCGCACTTGCCATCGGAGGTGCTTATGAGTCCCGGTAATGTCGACTGACCGGTGTCCTATATCCCCCTTGGGAATTCTTTTTGTTTATATAAAACCCAAGAGCCTTTTTTCTATTGATGTTCGAAGGGGAGTATAGTCTGCTCAGTAAGTATCCGTGAGCACCAGGCAGCCGTGCAGCTATACTTGCGCAGTTGATTTTCTGAGTGAGTCAGATCCAGACCTTTTCAGATCCAAAGCTGGTTAAGCCTGCCTGGGCGCAGGTGTGATGGTGAAAAAAAGTAGAACTTCATGGCGAGTTACATCACCAAACTCCCTCACAGAAAGTGGAGCCCACCAACTGCAGAGCAGATGCAGAATAAACCCTGAACCCGAAACCCGAAACCCTAAACCCTAAACCCTAAACGGCCCGAACCCTAAACGGCCCTAAACCCTAAACCCTGCTCCACAGGCTTCATCACCTTGGCGATCATGCTGGTCTGCATGCCGCTAAAGCCGTCACGGATGCACCACGGGGCCTTCGACCGAATGTTCTGGGTCACGCAGGCCTGCCAAGCTTCCATCATGATCGTTGGTCCCCCCTAAAGCCTTAGCCTTAAACCCTAAACCCTAAACCCCGAACCCTAAACCCGCCATTGCAGCGAAGCACTTGCCCCGAGCAACAAGAGGGATTTCCTTGCAAAGCTTCTCGCAGCCTTGGGAAACACCAGCTGCAGTATCCAGACCGTCCGTTCGCGTGGTTCCTCCTTGGGTACCCTGATTATCTATCACTAGATCTTAAACCCTAAACCTTAAACCCTAAACCCTGAACCCTAAATCCTAGATATACAGCAAGGACCGTAAAGGCACCACAATCTCAAGAACCGTACTTGAGTATTCGCGGATCTCTGTCAGCATGTTTGGAGGGCCTCTACCTGCTGGCTTTTAGCATCCCTGCGCTCGTGGCCACCGTGCAGCACCTCGGAAGCAAGAAGAGGCGGTTTAGGGTTTAGGGTTTAGGATTTCGGGTTTAGGGTTTAGGGTTTAGGGTTTAGGGTTTCTAATGTTTTTAGCTTTCTTTTTGGAACCCATTCTTACAAGGGATTCAAATGTATCATCGGAAGGAGCTATACCTCTTAGAGGGGACCCCAAATGCACCGAATAAAGTGCCCAAATAGTAGGGCTCCCTGATAATAAGGACCCCTCATAAGGTACCCTAACCCCTAAACCCTAAACCCTAAACCCTAAACCCTAAACCCTAAACCCTAAACCCTAAACCCTAAACCCTAAACCCTAAACCCTAAACCCTAAACCCTAAACCCTAAACCTTAACGGAAACCGCAGAAAAATGCAAAGAAGAATGCTCCATGCACCGCTGCGCCACGCAGGTGCGGCATCCTCCGGGATGGCTTTGAAGGCTGGCCGGCGTGGGGTTTAGGGTTTAGGTTTTAGGGTTTAGGGTTTAGGGTTTCCGAAAGTAGGGGGTGCACCCTATTCAGGTCCTGATTATAAGGGAAAACCCTGCCTTGAAGGCTGGCCGGCGTGGTTGAAGGTGGAGCTCTGGCTCGGCATTTTGACGCTCGCCCACGACTTGGGGGAAAGAATATGAAAGAATGGGTTTAGGGTTTAGGGTTTAGGGTTTAGGGTTAGGGTTTAGGGTTTAGGGTTTAGGGTTTAGACAGAATGGGGTACCTTGTTTTTGGGGTTCTTGATAAAGGGGGAATCCTACTATTTGGGTTTAGGGTTTTATTTCCCAACAATAAAGGGATGCCCCTTTTCATACCCCCCAAATAGAATAGAATCCCCTTAAAGGGACCCCTCCCAAAAGCGGTGCCCTATTTTCGGAAACCCCCCCCCCAAAAAAAATCTTCCAACATTGTCACAAGATGGCTCGAGCGTCCTGGCTCCATGCGTATGGCAAGTGCAACTACACTATCTGAAGCCTCGCAGGCTGAGGCGTACCCTACCTTAAACCTGAGCCCTAAACAACAAAACACAGACCATGGTTTCAATCACAGCCGGTGGGCACACACAGGCAAACCAAACGGACGCTAGACGCAGGCCAAAAGCAGGCCAGAATGGAGATCCAGCTTGCTGTCATGTTGCCTTGCCTTGAGGAAGTACCAGGTGGGCAGAGCCGTGTTCTTCATCGGCGCAACTCTGCTAAACCAGCAGCTAGTGCAGGCTGTTGCGTTGGCATCTCCCCGATAAGCCGAGCTAGGAGTCGGCAGAAACTTGATTTAAGGTTTAGGGTTCAGGGTTTAGGGTTTAGGGTTTGGGGTTTTGGGGTTTAGGGTTTAGGGTTTGGGGTTTGGGGTTTAGGGTTTAGGGTTTAGGGTTTAGGGTTTAGGCCCAAGAGAAGGGCCGGTGGGGTGGGCGCGTCTGAAAATGGGGCGCCGTAGGTACGAAAAGGGAAAGAACCCTAAACCCTCAGCCTAAACCCGAAACCTGAAACCCTAAGCCCTAAACCGCCAAACCCAAAAGCATCCCAGGCTGGCTTCTATGTCTTTCCCCTGATGGCAAACTTCGGGCTGGTGGCGGACGTGGAACTCTGGACGATCATCTTGTCCTATTTCTTAGGCGCCGGGGCTCCTTCTTTGAGGAATGCAAGTTTTATGTTCAGGGCTTAGGGAGGGCAAAAGTGTGGCAATATAATATAAATAAATAAATATATATATATATATATATATACACATTCATCTGGATTTCTTCACCGTATTCGAACATAGGAATATATTCCTGTAAACCGAATAATTCTGTGCTAATACAGTCTTGTACTCGTATAAGATATTGCATAGAATGGCGCAAGGATACTGTGCGAGAGGATATGAGGGGCTTGCCTCGGTGAAGTGACGTGACGCACTTGGCACCCGCGTGCCACGCGCCTCTCCAGGCATCATCTCTTTGCTTTCGGGCAGCTTCCTGCTTATTTTCGAGGGCTTGCTGTCGGTGTGCCTGGGCTGCAGCGGTTTAGGGTTTAGGGTTTAGAGGTTAGGGGTTAGGGTTTAGGGTTTAGGGCGTGCGAGCAGAATGGCAGCGTGGCACAGTGCCTGGTCAGGTACATTCGCCAGGCTTTGTACGACAGGGTGCCAGAGCCTACAGCAGCTACACCATGACGAAGGTGATACCGAACGAACCGAAGCAAGCACGCAATGTATCGTTTTATCGCTTTGCAACAGCCACAGCTGCTAAAGCTGCAGACTGTACACGGAACGCCCAGAGGAAAAGGTCTCCGGCCATCCTTGCATGCTCAACTGACCCTTTCCACCCGAAATGGTAGAAATTACGAAGAGTTGCTACCGAAGCCGGTAGCTGAAACCCCTACTTGTATGGCCGTTTCGCAAGTCTAAAGGTTTTAGGGTGCAATGCGCGAGGCATTGAGTCAAGCTTCTCCAAGGTGTGCGCACCGTTCCAAAACTTCTCGATCTGGCACCAGGCAACGGAATTGCCCGAGCAAACTGCCGATGTAGCAGGTCCCACCCAAAAAGACGAGTTATGCCTCAGCTCTTGTTTCGCACTTGTTCGTGTTTCCTCGGCTCGCAGGCTTCCTGGCACAAAGAAGAAGTCATGGAACCCTATTGTCTCAGCGCCGAGCCGAACAGCAACAACATGCAACAACATAGTACAAGACCACCATGTGGGCAGAAGAATGTAAAGTGCCCCTGCTCCAATGACCTGTGCCTTCATGTCCCAGTCAAGTCGCAAGCGTGCCATTTGGCCAGCTGCAGAGGCAACAAGTCCGCACCAAGCTGTAAGACCCCTTTATGAGGTGTATATATAGGGGTTACCATAATAGCAAGGGACCCCTATATGAGGTACATATAGGGGTCTTATAGAGATAAGGGTTCTAGGGGTCATTCCTTATACCCCTTAATCGCACCCGCAGCCTGCAGCCGTCATAGCCCGAGTATGGATTCCGAAGCTTGCGCCGGAAGAGCTTCATCAAGCAGCGTCTTCAATGTGGAGTCGACGTCGAGCACTGCAGGCCGAATCACTGACAGAGTCAGAAGCTACGAAGTACAAAGTACCCCACATGCGTTCGCCTGACGTGCTGACACTTTGGACGGCTGCAGGCCAAAAGGGGAATTGTGGCTTTTGGTGAAAACGATTCTTCAGAAGCGCTTGATCTCAAGGGCGCGAAAAAGCCTTCTGTTAAAACTGTTCCCGAAGAAGCCCTTGCTTTGAAAGAACTAAACCCTAAACCCTAAACCCTAAACCCTAAACCCTAAACCCTAACCCCTCAATAAACCCTAAACCCTAAGCCCTAAGCCCTTCTTGAAAGCCCGCTTTTCTGGAGGCCAAAGGGAGCCGGATCGCCGCATTTCCTTTATGATGACCCACGTGTCCAGTATGCACGAGAAACGTCTCCAAGCTGCAGAGAAGGCCGGGTGTGAACACATTTTTTTGTTTTTGGATTTTTAGGTTCTGTCGTATATTCGTATATTGTTATACCTAATACACAAAATGTAACGATGTACAATGGATTCGAAGATACTATTTTATTTCACGAAAGGGTAATAATACAGATATACAAAGATATACATGTTACGCAAGCACACACACGCTACAGTCAGATGCATACCACATGTGTGTGTGTATGTATACGGTATATATATATATATATATATATATATTTTATGTTCTATATAGTAGAGTGCACAATGTTTGTTTTAGAATTTTCCATTTTTTACTACATATCATATGTGAAATCAGTGGAGGCTTCCTCCCTGGCCATATCACCCGCGGTCTTTCTTTTCGGCCCACAGAGGGCCCTCTTGATCCTTAAGCTACTGACTTTGCAGTGTGCGTAAAATTGAGTCCGAGCCATAGATTTGAAGTGGGCGCTGTCAGTTGACAGCGGAGCCTGCGTGGCTCTTGGCGGCGTGTGTGGCGTCGCAGCCGGCGGTCCCAGGGGCCTGCTGTTTCCCTCCTCGCCTTCTAACCGATCAGCCGCGGGAAGGTGGTGACGTATCTGATCGAGCCCAGCCACGTCGACATCTACAAGAGCGAGTGAGTGAAGATGCCATCTACTTCGGAAGGACAGTCCTCAGGCGATCCTGGAGGATATGTCTACCGAGATAGAGATCCCCCACCTTCTTGGAACGGTTCCACTCCAGAGGTCTCTTTCAAGACCTGGCTTCGAGATCTTGAGCTGTGGGAGGCCACGACGGATATTCCCAAGGAGAAGAGGGCGATCAAGCTGGTTCAAGCTCTCACAGGGCCAGCAAGGGAGGCGGTGTCGTCTTTGACGCTGGCCGAGCTCCAGCATGCGGACGGCTACAAGACGGTGATGAAAGTGCTCAACGACAACTTTAAGCCGTATGTGGAGACAGCGTTGCCGAGGGCCATGGAGGGCGTGTTCTATGGCCAGGCTAGAGGTGCCAAGGAGTCCATCCCGGATTACCTGGTGCGCGCGTCGCATGCCTTGGCGGAGCTCAAAGCCGAGGGCGTGGACCTTCCGGCGAAGGCTGCCGGATACTTGCTGTTCCGGCAGGCGAACTTGGACAAAGAGCTGGAGTCCCGTGTGGTCACGTGGTTGGCTGGCGACTACACCAAGGATGTGGTGATCGCCAACCTAAGGCGACTTGACCGCATCAACTCGAGCAGCTCCGGGTCCAAGGCGATGCTCTGGACGGAGACTGAAGAGGGCGAAGGCCAGGAGGTGTACTACGAGAACCACGAGCACTATGGCGAGCCCGAGTTCTACCTGGAGGCGGAAGACGAAGAAGACGAGAACTACGTGTACCTAGAAGACGGCGAGCTGGACGCGGTGTACGAGGAAGGCGATGTCATGGAAGCTTTGGCGTCGTACCAACATGTTCGGCAGCAGCTCAAAGAACAGCAAAAGGGCCGGCAGTACTACCAGCCGAACCTTGGCAAGAAAGGGGGCAAGAAGCTCTTCAACAAGGACGGCAAGAACACCGGCAAGCAGAGCAGCAAGTCCTTCGGCAAAGGCGGCTCGGCATGGAAGGGGTCGCCTACGTCACGAAGAGTGCACATAGAGCAGCTCAAGCTTAGGACTCGATGCCGGGCTTGCGGAGAAGTCGGGCATTGGAGCAAGGAGTGTAGGCACCGAGCGGGGCCATCGCTGACTACCTCTTCGTCATCGTCGGGCCCGGGAGCAAGCCGAGGGTCCTTCTACTGGGCCGGCCGAATGGATGCCGGGTCTGGTGGAGCGAACACCTTCTTGTCCTTCGGCCAGTTCCTCAATGACAGGCCGGGCGAGTCGATGGCGGGCGAGCTCTTCGTGGGAGTGACTACGCAGGGATGCCACGGCCTGGTGGACACTGCGGCTCAGGAAGGCCTGGTGGGTCGTCCGGCCCTTCTTCGTTTGCTGGACCTTTTGAGGCCCCTAGGCCTAAAAGGCTGCTGGACGGACAAGGCCACCCAGGCACGCGGCATTGGAGGCGCAGCAAAAACAGTCGGCGTGTGCGAAGTTCCCATCGGCCTCGGTGGAGTTCCAGGAGTGCTTGAGCTGACAGTCGTAGCCGAAGACGTGCCATTGCTGTTGCCGGTTAGTCTCTTGAGGGCCTTGGGTTCAGTCATTGATCTAAGCAAAGACAAGATCACCTTCAGCAAAGTGAATGGAGAGTGCAACATGACGACTCTTCCCTCAGGGCACGCAGCTGTGGATGTGCTTGACTTCGGTCCTGAAGGTTGGGTGATGCCTTCCGCGTGTGCAGGGCGTCGTATGGAGTCCGACTTTCGCACTGGGCAGGTTTTTGGCTCGAGACCAAAGACTACAAGATCGCCCAAGACTCTCAAGTCCGAGGCCTATGCTAGCTTCGCGTGCCCTGCAGCAGCAGCAGGGGCGGCAGCGGAATCCATGGCAGCTAGTGCGGAATCCCGTCAGCCGGCCAAGGCTCGCCGTCCGAAACTGGCGGGTTTTGTTGGACAAACTCTGCTCGCTGCTGGCCTGGGGATACTGGCAAACCGTGGTGTCACCGTGGCTCTCTCTTCCCGGGCCAGAGTCGCAGCAGCAGCCCAGCCCTACGGATACCACTTCGCCAGCGACCTTGACTACGAGTTCGGCTACCAGCAGGGGCCAGATCTACAAGAACTACCTGGAAGGCGAGAGGCCCGAACAGCTGGCTTCGGTGAAAGGCGTGCCGACTCAAGAGATTGGCCGCTGTGCTCACCCAGCTCAGCAGCTCAAAGGAGGAGGCAATGGACACATGAACTGGTTCCACTGCAACCTGTGCAAGGCTCGATGGAAACTCAGCCCGAGAACAGCCGGAGCTTTGACCGGCCGACCAGTGGAGACCGTGAACCAGTCGAAGGAGAAGACCCTCAACCTGGCGGAGAACGCTCTGAAACAACAAGAGAAGCGAATGGCCCAGAAGCACCAGGTGGAGATGGGAAACCTGATGCAGCAGCTGGCGGACGAGCGCGCCAGGAGCGACGAGCTGCAGACTACGCTGGACTTGCGCGAGGGCGAGTACCTGGAGTTCGAGAGGGCGGTGGAGAACGTGACCGCAATGGAGGCTCACCTGTCCGAGATGGACCCGACTACCGCGAACCAGGTGCAGGCAATGGTCTCCGAGTTCAAGAGAGTTCAGCGCTACGAGCAGGAGACCCGACATCGAGCGAACACGCTGCCCTTGCGAGAAACCAAGAGCGACTGGGAGCAAGCCGTGGCCACGATGAAGCAAGCGGTGGACATGGTGAACCAGTTCTACGCGCGCATGATGACCCAAAGAACCCAAGTGGCGAAGCAACTGGCAGGAATGTGAACGTAGGCCAGAACGTCAGATCGTGGGATGGAACGCGAGTGTTGCAAAGTGCTACGCCTAACATGGTGCGTCGTTGGATGGCCAGGCCTCTTCCCTTCCTGGACGACTTTGTGGTGGTCTCCAAGAATGGTGTCCTGCAGCGAATGGACCGGCAGGACGTGGAGGGCCTGCACAGCCTGGAAGACGAGGAGGTCTATGTGGTGGTCAAAGAGCCCGAGCTGTACTTGGAGCACCAGAGCGACGAGACCAAGATCGACAAGGCGAAGTCTGATCAGATCCTGGACTACCTCGTGGGGGCTAGTGCCGGGGTTGACGCCATGACCATAGACCTAAAGGGCGTCAACCAGAATGCGGTGTGGAAGGACATCGAGAGCCAAGGTCCCAAAGTAATATACCTGAACAAGGTGGCGTCGGAGCAGTCGTCGCTGGCTTGTCGCATCGCGAGACATCAGTGGAGGAAGGGCCGTGGCTTTGTAATCAGTGCCTTGGGGCCGCTGTCATCAGGCTTGAAGAACCTGAAGGAGGCCACTTCAGAAGGCACCGCGTCCTACCTGCTATACCGCAAGAAGTACCAGATCACAAACTTCAAGGACGCAGTCAAGTATGCCATGGCGAAGGGCAAGCCGCCCCGAGCGGAGGGGGCAATCATGGACTATAACCTCGAGTGCTTCCCCGGAGAGGTCGCAGAGCAGGACATCTTCGA